ACACCCCACCCAGCTCCCCCCCCCTCTGACACCCCTCTTAATAAGGGGGAGGAATGGGTCACCTGTCTACAGATATACAGCTAGCTATGTAGCCCCATCACAGCCAAGGTTCTAATACGGAGATTGGCTCCCTTTGTGACTCCAGGAAGCAGGACCCGGGATGGGGCATCACATCCATAGACAGATGGAGATCTCATTCTCGTTCTTCTTTGTTGGGTTTTAGGAAAATGATGAACCCGGCCAACCATTTATCCGCGGAGATCCAGAGCAGCGTCACCATAGAGTATCTCAATGGGTCTGGCCAGGCGCTGAAGAGGAAAGTCATCCGCAATGCTTTGACCTCCCTGGGCCGCAACGAGTATCGGGAGCTGGTCCTGAAGGTGAGCGACGGGAAACTCCCCCAGAACTTCACCCTGAAACAGATCCAACTCTTCACCCGCTTCGTCCAAGACGGGAAGAGCTCCATCGTCCTCCAACCGGACAACGTCCAGCTGCTGATCTCCAACTGCCCCTCGGACACGCTGAAGCACTTCATAAAGACCCTGATGATCAAACACGAAGCCGGGAAGAGCGAGAAGCCGGTGAATGAACGCATGAGGCTGTTGGCCGGCCGCCCCCGCACGTTTGAGACAATCAGTCCTGTGCAGAGAAAGGACGTGCAGCAAGCCAACGAGATGAGGGCCAAAGCCAACACAGAGACCCCTGTAAAGAGGAAGGGGCTGAGTAACCGGGGGCCCAACGGAGCCAATGGGGGTCCACAAAAACGGGCCAGGACGGAGTCTTCTGAGAACGGTCTGGTAAGTGTCTGGATAATATCTACTCAGGCCTGATAATCAAATCTGACCTCCGTCCTCCCTCTTCGGTCTTCTGTCCGACCTCCGTCCTCCCTCTTCGGTCTTCTGTCCGACCTCCGTCCTCCCTCTTCGGTCTTCTGTCCGACCTCCGTCCTCCCTCTTCGGTCTTCTGTCCGACCTCCGTCCTCCCCTTTCGGTCTTCTGTCTTTAATTCAGCTTAATGCAGACACACTGATTTTATTCATGGCCATAAATGAATGTTTTCATGCGTCAGATTTCAGAGCTGCGTCCCAGCAAGAAGCCGGCGCTGAGTATGCCGCGACAGATGAATCTCTCCACCGAACAGTCTCTGGTGCTGAGCACCGTCCTAGGTGGGAAAAACGTCTTCTTCACTGGCAGTGCAGGTTGGTAAAAAAAGCATCTAAAGTGGACCTGTCATCAAATATATTTTTCATGATAAGTAATGTGTCATTGTAACAGGTCCCGGTATTTACTACCTCTCCTAGAGATCACAGTGCTCTCCCCTGACAATGCCTTCACCTGCTTTTCCCTCCAGAAGGATGGCGCTATCTTTTTTCAGGCAACATCTACTTCCTGGCTCAGAGATGACATAATCGTGTATATCCCGGTGTCTGTGCAGTTCTTGGCTGTGTCCAACACAGATCGGCCCCTGCTGCATCCTCTCACCTCCGTCACTTGATACAAAGTTTCAATATTGCTACTGGGGGAGGGGAGACTGAGGAAATGCTTCCTCCTGGTTGCAGCAGACTGATCACTGGGGGGGAGGGGAGACTGAGGAAATGCTTCCTCCTGGTTGCAGCAGACTGCCTAGGCTGTGATGATGTCGTAACTAGCTGGAGCTCAACAATGACTTAAAAAAATGACATAAAAGGCGGATATTTTTTATAATCTTCTGTCCCCGGCTGGAATTGTGACCTCGGTAGTCTGATCTGGGTATAATATTCGGTCTCTCTGCTTCATGCTTTTTAATTTTCTTCCAGGCACAGGGAAGTCGTATCTACTAAAGAGGATCATCGGCGCTCTTCCACCAAAAAGCACTTACGCCACAGCGAGTACGGGAGTCGCGGCCTGTCACATCGGTGGCACCACGTTACACGCATTTGCAGGTTAGTAAATATTTGTCCTCTTTAGGATCTGAAGTCTCGTAATATTCCATTCCTGCTCTTGTATTGTTGTGTCCCATCGATGACCTTCATCTTGTGTTCCAGGTATCGGCTCCGGCAAGGCCCCCCTGGAGCAGTGCATTGAATTGGCGAATCGGCCGGGGGTCCGCCAGCATTGGACGAGCTGCCGTCACCTGATCATCGATGAGATCTCCATGGTGGAGGGCGAGTTCTTCGACAAGCTGGAGGCCGTCGCCAGGTATGCAGAAATCACGTATTGGAGTCTTCTAGACACACTGCGACCGCGTGTTGAATATTGAGGGGTGACTGCGTCTCTTATAGGGCTGTACGAGGTCGGGATGAGCCCTTCGGGGGGATCCAGCTCATTGTCTGCGGAGATTTCCTGCAGCTTCCGCCGGTCACTCAAGCCTCCAGCCAGACCAAGTTCTGCTTCCAGGTAGGAAGAGACTCGCCTGACCCCAGAAATGTCAGAGGGTTCTCTGTCCTCTAAGGATCCTTCTATCCAAAAGGGAGACTTTGTATATAGATTGAGCCCCCGACTTCCTCTTATAGGGCTTGTATGCTGAAAAGTCCATCTTTGTGTATTCCCAACTTCTCCTCCCATATATTCTCTATAATGTCAATGTTCCAATGTTTGAAGTCCCTCATAATGGGCACAGCAGGTGTACAGACCCAGGAACTCGGCACAGGGATGGTGGGATCCCCTCATAATGGGCACAGGGGGTGTACAGACCCGGGAACTCAGCACAGGGATGGTGGGGGCCCCTCATAATGGGCACAGCAGGTGTGCAGACCCGTGAACTCAGCACAGGGATGGTGGGGGCCCCTCATAATGGGCACAGCAGGTGTGCAGACCCGGGAACTCGGCACAGGGATGGTGGGGGCCCCTCATGGGCTCAGCGGGTGTACAGACCCGGTAACTCAGCACAAGGATGGTGGGGGCCCCTCATAATGGGCTCAGCGGGTTTACAGACCCGGTAACTCAGCACAGGGAAGGTGGGAGCCCCTCATAATGGGCACAGCAGCTGTGTGGGCCTGGGAACTCTAGTGCACCACTAACTGCTTGGCTTTGTACCCCACACAGGCGAAGAGCTGGAGGCGCTGCATCCACCTGACCATGGAGCTGACGGCGGTCAGGAGACAGACAGATAAAACCTTCATTAACCTCTTACAGGCCATTCGGCTGGGCAGGTGAGTCCTGGACACCCACAGGCTGCATTCCACAATAGAGATTGGGGTCATTCCTCTCAGCTTGCCTTACCTGAGCACCATTTTAAGTGTTTCTAAACTCCAGAACAAACATGTAATACATTTGGAGGTAACATGCCAAGAGTCCTGCGATGTGGAGGCTGCAACACTTTACTTTTCTGTCATTTTCAACTGGTGGTACTTCCAGTAGCACACTTCCTGTCCTACAGTGACAACCCCACTCACTCCACTATATGAAGGAGCAACATTGTCACCCTAGGACAAGAAGTGTATTAGGACAACAGAACATCTGCCACTCTCTTAACCCCAATAACAAACCCCAATAACAGGGGGAGGTGTTCTGTAATTTTTGGCAGGATCAACAGGAGAGATGGATCTAATATAGAACGTATGTTTTGTTTTTTGAACGGATAGAAGAAAGCCCTTTCAATGGTATATTAACCAGACCATTCATTAGTCGGGTTTTAGGTAACAATCTGTGCCCCTCATTGGATATAAATGACATTTTATATAATAATGTTCTTGTGACTGTTGGAACATGTCTTATCATTGTTTCCCTCTCTCAGATGTACAGAAGAGGTGACCAGGCAGCTGGTTCTGACCGCCAACCATAAAATCGAGCGGGATGGGATCCTGGCCACGCGTCTGTGCACGCACAAGGATGACGTGGACCTGACGAACGAGCGCCGACTACAACAGTTACCAGGTATGGAGATCCTGAGCCAGAGGTGTATCTACAAAAAAATTGCACCCCTGAGTACCAATGATGTCACTGGTTGCCTGGAGCTGGGTGAGATGCTAGCCAGAGTGTTCCTGGCTGCAAAGAGTCGAGCGTGGAGATGTGTACAGGAGAGGTAAAAAAAACAAGCTAGCAGTCTCCGTGGGTCAGCAAACTTTTGCTGACCCAGGGAGCAGTGCCTCCCACTTCAAGTGGTGCCCAGGGCATGTTGCATACCCTGGATAGGCCACTGTCTGGGGCTCCCATAATCTCTGTATTTGCTCTTTCATCAGCCTACTAATTTAATTTTTTTCTTCCCATGATCCTCTCTGTTGAGCCTTTCACCCCTTATGTTCTCCCTTCTCACGGGTTTATCATCACTCCAGGGGAAATACACACGTATGAGGCCTTGGACAGCGACCCGATGCTTGTGAAGACGATGGACACACAGTGTCCGGTTGGCCAGCGACTTCAGTTGAAGAAAGGTGCTCAGGTGAGAACAGAGGACTTGATGGGGTCTTGTTAATACCAAAGGATCGGGTTCATTTTAAGGGCAGTCCCACCAGCAGCATATACACATCTTCCCTTTGCTTCCTGGTGCTCCAATTGGCCAACAGCTGCCAAGAGAAATATCTGCTAGTTCCAAGCATGGGAGAGCATGTGACCCACTCCACTTCCTCCCATGTGACCCACTCCACTTCCTCCCATGTGACCCACTCCACTTCCTCCCATGTGACCCACTCCACTTCCTCCCATGTGACACACTCCGGGGGACCGGCAGATCAGACAGTCCTCAGCTCTGTTTAAGTTCCTGCCGGCCAAAGAGAGAGGGGGAAGAGTATGTGCAGCTGAAAGTAAAGCTGTTGCTGTGCCCATTGTGTTCACTTTAACAACTAGTTGGCTTTGTCTTCGTGGAAGAAAACTGAGCTGGACTTTTTTTTTTCTTTTTCGCTAAATATAGGGGCAAAGGTGGTAAACCCCCCGCCCCCCAGCAGTTTGGAAGGGAAATGTCCCTCTTCTGCTCATCCCCTTAAGTGCCCATGCTGACCCGGTACATGGAGGGGTCACAGGTGACAACGGGGTCACACCCCATTGTATTATATTACACTGGTGGACAGCAGGAGAAGAGCAAGGCATGCCCAATGTATCATAGAAGCAGAGTTCCCCTTCCACCCGTCTTCATGCCTGCCTGGTCATGAAATAATGTGTCGGATTGGCAGTGTGTGGGAGAATGGGGCCCCAATTGTCAATCTATGTGAACATTGTAGACACTGACATTGTGTAACATTCTTTAGGATAAAGTAACACGTATTCACTTTTTTTTTTCTTTTTGTTTGTTTTCCAGCCCTGCCCAAGGTGCACTTCCTCTGCGGTGTCACGGAAGTGATGAAGATGGAGCGTTGGGTCATCAAGGCCCACGGCGGAGTCTATCTGAGCCGCCAGCAGTTACCGCTGAAGCTGGCGTGGGCGATCTCTATACACAAGAGTCAGGTGAGTCCTATTAGCTGTAGAAGGGAGACGATGGAACCCAATTCCTCCCATCCCCTGGTATTCATAGACTCCTCCTTCTCGCAGGGGATGACCCTGGACTGTGTGGAGATCTCCTTATCCCGTGTGTTTGAGAGCGGTCAGGCGTATGTGGCCCTTTCCAGAGCCCGCAGCTTCGAGGGCCTCAGGGTGATGGATTTCGATCCCAAGGCCGTGAGCGCCAATCCGTACGTGCTGCACTTCTATGCCAGGATGAAGAAGGAGAGGGCGCTGCAGCAGGTGAGAGGAAATCGGAACCACTCTTGTTTTATGGCTCCTGAGAAGTTAGATTGTGTTCTGGGGGAAGTGAGGGAGCGAAGCTGGCATAGAACAGGAATGGATCTCTCTGATCTACCAATAACTAATGAATATGCAAATCTAGCAAAGCCGACGCTCTGCATTGTATACATTTGTTTTCTATCTTATTCAAATGTTACATTTAAAACAACTGCAGGCCGATATAAAAACACTAATTTGTGTACTTATGCAAATCGTTTTATTTCAACTTCCTATCAATAGAGGTCATTTCTGCATCCACTAATATCCTGGACAGTGGAACAAAATTTAAAGGAGAACTATGGGGTGGGGGGGGGGGGGGGGTTTTTCCCCCCA